CCCACCCCAAATATAAAACAGTGCACACCCTAAGGCCCAAAGGGAAAGAATGAGAGAAGGAGAGAGAAGCAGAGAGAGGGAGAGAGAAAGAAAGAGAAGAGAGAGAGAGAGAGAGGTGAAAGAGAGAAGAAAAGTGCCTGTCATAGTGGCAGGCAGTGGTGATGGGACGGGGGTGGCGTGGGGGGCCGCAGGAGGGAAACTGGGACCATTGGTGTGGGAAAAGTACACTGGTGAAGGGACGAGTATTGGAACATTATGACTGAAATCCAATCATGAACAACTTTGTAAATGTGTATATCACTGTGATTCAATTAAGAAAAAAATGGGAAACCCATACAAAAAGGATATATATAAAACAAAAACAATCCTAAATCTGTACAGTCAGTGGACACCTACGGTATATGCTAATTGATAGTGCCAAAGGAAAAAAATCATAATAAAAGGAAAGAAAGTATCTAACATATTGTAAAATAGAGTATCTCATTATTCAGAGTCCTTATGGGGGTCAGAGAGATGTACAGTGGGTAGGCACTTACCTTGAATGGGTTTGATTCCCAGAACCCCAGATGGTCCCCTAAGCCATTGAGTAAGCCTTTGAGCACACAACTGGGTGTCACCCCAAAACAAAGTTCCTTTAAGAACATTTTGTTTTGTGGCCACACCTGGTAAAGCTCAGGGGTTACTCCTGGTCCTTCATTGGGCAGTCACTCCTGGAAGAGCTCAAGGGGAGCATGATCCCCAGCATGCCGGGGATCGATCCGGGGTCTGCGCCATGCAAAGCAAGTGCCCTACCCTCTGTAACTATCTCTCTAACACCAGTGAACATTTTTGTAAAGCAAAGTACAGTCCCCTAAGAAAGGACCTGGCGCAGCTGTGTCTTTTGCTGCTTGGAATCGTGGCTGACAGCTTCCCAGTTCCTCTGCCATGGAGGCAGCTTCTGTTCGGCCCTTTCTTATTAAACCTTCTGAGATAGGGGAGAAGATCACTAAGAAAAAAGATGGCTGGAGGAATCGGTCGGGATGGGAGATGTGTGCAGAAAGTAGATAAAGGACCAAACATGATAACCTCTCAGGATCTGTATTGCAAACCATGATGCCCCAAAGTGGAGAGAGATTATGGGGAATCATGTCTGCCATGGAGGCAGGGCAAGGGTGGGGAAGGGGGGTATACTGGAGAGATTGGTGGGAGGGAATGTGCACTGGTGGAGGGAGGGTGTTTGATCATTGTGTGATTGTAACCCAAACATGAAAGCTTATAACTCTCACGGTGATTCAATAAAATTTAAAAAAAAACAACCTTCTGGGATAGAAGAGAATCATTGAGGTGTAGAGCTAGACAGTGTTTAGAGATTTTACAGATTAGAAGAAGTGAAATCAGGAAAAGGAGGTAATTAAGTTCAAAACCTAGGAGATGACACTAGCAAACAGAAGGCCTGGAGTCTAACAGCCTCCATGCAGCCTTAGAGGAACTGAGAATTCAAGATTCCACAAAAAACTTTAGTTGTTTTTTTTTCTCACAGATTAAAAAAAAAAAACCTTAGTTAATCACTGTCATTTACAAAGTTGTTCAATATACAGTTGTTTTGGGCAGTCAGTCTTCCAAGACCAATCCCTCCACCACTGTCCCCAGTTTCCCACCTACTCCCCAAGCCTGCCCCTTTAGCAAGGACAAAATAATTTATTTTATATTGTTTGTTACAACAAGATGGCTAATGGAATTATAAAAAAAAACTACTTCAGTAAAAGGACATTTGTGAAAATTGTTACATCTCACAATGGGGTCATCAGAGTCATTGAGTATTTACTGAGCTGTTGCTAGTTGAGCCTTCTGTGTTAATACTTTGTGTTTACTGTGCTCGGTTGACTTCTATTATGCCTTCCCCCCTAATTTGCTGTGCTCTTACTGGGCTATCAGTATTGTGGAATTTGGAGGTGTCACACAGCCACCGAAAACTTCGGGAACTCTGCAGTCTGAAGCAATGGACTGATGAGTTTCAGGACTTGGGCTTGGCACCTCTTCTGAGACCCGTGAAGCTGGGCTGTTGTTTACTAGGTGTCAGCTGTGGCATGTGGGGCTGGCTGCCGGGGCTTGCAGTAGTAGGGCAGAGTGTGTGTGTGTGTGTGAAGGTTTTGGTGTGTCTGGGAGGAGCACTGCCCACCTTCACTCTGACAAGACCGACCTCTGAGTTTTTAGCCCCCAAACCGGTGTACCTGGAATTTTCAGCGACTTGGGTCTTTGCAGAGATCACTGTGAAACAGTGGAGTTGGGCCAGTTGCATATTGGTGGCTGTGGGGTGTGGGTATCGCTGCTGGGACTTTAGCAGGACAGGGTCTCAGCCTACCCCTCTCCCGAGGTCACCCCAGAGTAGAAAACTTTAGTTTTATACTATTGTGACAGTAAAGTGGAGTTCTTTCTTTTTAAATTTTATTTTTATAAAGTAGTTCACAATATTTGATTATATTTAATATTCGAGCACCAAATCCAACCACCATTACAGCTTCCCACCACCATATTTTGGATGTTTCCATCCTGAACCCCAACCCCTGCCCCAAAGCAGAACAGAAATAATTTATTTTGTATTGTTTGTTATGAAGAAACAACTGAAAATGCTCCCAAACCTTCTAAGATTGGGTGCCTTCTACTTTAAACCCCATCAAATGTGGTGCACTACTCTGGAAGTATGAGTGGTGTGAGGTATGAGATGTCGCAGCCATGCAGTCCAGGAATAGGTTCACTCGTGGGTGAGGCTCGGCCCGGAGCATGTGCAGAGCGGCCGTGAGCAGGGCAGGAGTTGAGTTCTGGAGGTTTTTGGCTGCCGGGGCTGGGTCCCTTGCAGTGGGGAGGGGTCTCACCCCCCACCCTTCAGGGTGCCCGGAATGAAACAGCCTGGCACGGGGTCCAGAAGTGGAGTTCTATGAGCAGAACATCCAGAAATTCAATCACTAAAATAGTATTTGAGTAACTTGTTACAGATATGTTGCTTATGGTAATCACTCTCACTGTAGCACTGTCCTCCTGTTGTTCATCAATTTGCTCAAGCAGGCACCAGTAATGTCTCCATTGTGAGACTTGTTGTTACTGTTTTTGGCATATCGAATAAGCCACAGGAGGCTTGCCAACCTCTGCCTTGTGGGCGGGATACTCTTGGTAGCTTGTCGGGCTCCCCGAGAGGGGCGGAAGACTCAAACCGCTGTGCTATCCAGCCCACGATAATCATGTTTATTAATTTTAAGCTTGTATTTATTATTTTGCAGTGCTGGGGATTGAATATAATATTGAGGTTTAAACTGTTTAGCTACAGGGGCCGTCGCAGTAGTACAGTGAGTAGAGCACTTGCCTTGCATGCAGCCAATCTAGGTTCAGTGCTAGGAGTGATCCCTGAGGACAGAACCACAGTAAGCCCTGAGCTCTGCCAAGTGTGCCACCCCCACACCAAAACCAAAACCAGAACAAAACAAAAGGAAGAGGTCCTTCCCAAAGGATTGACACCAGAATTGAATCTTGCTGGGAACCCAGGAGGAAAGGGCTTTAAGCCTGGAGAGATAGTTTGGGGTTAAGGCCCTTGTCTTCTACATGACTAACCACAGTCTGGTTCCTTGCAGCCCAAATCTAGGATTAAGCCCTAAACACCAATAGGCATAATTCCAAAACAAAAAACAGGTGAAAGGAAGGGCTTTGGAAGGGAAGAGCACAGCAAGAGCCAGGCAGGACTAAAGCTTGTGACTCCCACGGGGCTGGTGGGTTGTGGGAGTCGAACCCTGAGCCTGGTGAGAGTAGGAGAGGCAAGGAGCAGCTCATGGAGAGCTTTGGAAAATTAGAGTGCACTGAAAAGTTGGGGTTTTACCAGAAAATGGTGGGAAGGTGCTTGCTAAAGTAACGTAATTCAAAGAATAGATAAAGTTGATGTTTGGGGTTCTTTTGTTCTGGTTAGTATGAGATGCTTTGGTAAAACAGCTGAGTCGAGTGTGGGACTATCACCAGCCAGGAGTTTGTTCTCTGGAACTGCTCACCAGTTGCCCTTCTGAGCCACTCTATGGAGATCGTGATGAGGTTTTTGTCAGAAGTCTGAATTCGAGCTTGCTGTTCATGCGTTACAGTGCCTGGCAGATCGTAAACAGTAACTGGAAGTTGGCCTGATCTTCATTACGATCATCATCGTTGGGAAAGACTGCACTGGAGAACATAGCTTAGAGCTTGTTCAGTGTTCTTCTGACCACCACACTTCTGCAGCAGGTTTCTGATTCTGCTGAATCTGTGTTGCATAGAGTAAACCAGTCCGAGTGGAAAGGGCCACTTTGTAAGAAGAATGGCAAGGAAAGGCCTCGTTAGTGACATGCATTGGTCATATACTTTTTTAGAGGACTTTTTTTTTTTTTTTTGCTGATTTGTTGTCAAAGAGAATACAAGAAAACTGGGATTTCAATAGTTGAGCGCAGTGGGGAAAACTGTGGGACTTGTTCACTAAAGGCAGAAGAGAAAAATAGCAAGCTCCATCGATGGAAATAGGGGATAAAGGTCATTTTTATTTTTTTCCACCTTCTGCTGACTGTCAGGCCCTCAGAATGAGAGACAATAGAATGCTTCCAATTGTAACTATGTATAATATAGTCCTATATTATGATGAGAGCCCGGCAAGCAACTGAGAGTATCCCGCCCGCACGGCAAAGCCTGGCAAGCTACCCGTGATGTATTCAGTATGCCCAAAACAGTAACAACAAGTCTCACAATGGAGACATTACTGGTGCCCGCGCAAGCAAATCGATGAACAATAGGAAGACAGTGCTACAGTGCTACTCTGATGATAGTGATTTTTTTCCGTTTTTTGTGATTGAAATATTTTCTGTAATTGTGCCAAATTTGGATTATATTTTAGCAATTTTAGTTTTTATTAAAAATTAAATTGAATTCACTCTCGGTGCAATGACATCTTTATTTTTCAAATGGTCTATATTTCTATATCTTAATGAATAATAGGTTTCTTTCTGTTTTTGTTTTGTCAGTGTTCCTATATTCCTCCCTGTAAGAGAGAAAATCAGAAGAATTTGGAAAGTGTCATGAGTTGGCAACAGTACTGGAAAGATGAGATTGGTTCTCAGCCATTTACTTGCTATTTTAATCAATATCAAAGGTAAGCCCATATTTACGATGCATATTACAGCTGTAGCCTCTATGGTTTATTGCACTAATAAATTTTAGATTGTGAGCACTTTACAAAATACACACCGTGAAAATAATCTCAGCTTGTTCTAGCATATAATTAATAAATTTCTTCTTACTCTACAGCAATGCTTCCCACGCTTATTTGATCTACTGCCCCCTTTTCAGAAAAAAAAAATCATTCCACACCTCTTCAGGAAATCTTCTGTCTTTAAATGAGCCAAGAGAAAGGACCCTTCCCCCAGTTACAGCTGAGACTACTGCCAGCCCCTGGATCAGGAGGCACTATCACCTACTCTGGGAAACACTCCACAGTTGTGTTTTTTAGCACAGGGCCCTGTGGCCCTCTATGGGCCCCCAGGATATTTCAAGGGGGTTCACAGGTGAAAATCACACAAACTGGGGCGGGGCATGACATGAGACTGAGGGGAAAGGAAACAAAATTGGAAGTGGGCCATGGTTGGGAACAGGTTGAGAAGCATTGCTCTACCGGAGGAGAATCAAGGAAGGAATGTCCAGGCCAGGCCTGAGGGGTAGAAATATCATGTGCCTGGCATATGTGAGGCCCTGGGTCTGGCTCCCAACACCACATGCTGCCAAAGACCCCAGCAGTAGGGACAGTAGAAAGAGAAGCTGCAGGTAAGAGAGAAAGAGAACTTATGTCCGAATGTTTGCCATTGGAATACACTGTGAAATGTACCTTGAGAGATGTACTAGTAGTGTTCCCTGGGAATTGCTGATTAATGAATGTAAATTAAGCAATATGCAGATGTGGCAGTATTTTTGGTGTCTTTATCCCTCCTTTCTATCCTGAGAGGTATCAGTAGTAGTGTGAGGACAATCTATTAAAACTTTGCTTGAGGGGCTGGAGTGGTAGCACAGCGGGTAGAGCATTTGCCTTGCACACAGCTGACCCGGATTCGATTCCCAGCATCCCATATGGTCCCCTGAGCACTGCCAGGAGTGATTCCTCAGTGCAAAGCCAGGAGTAACCTGAGCATCGCCAGGTGTGACCCAAAAAGAAAAAAAAAACTTTGCTTAAGATAGAGAGTTATGCTTGCTGACAAGGACTTGAGGACAAGAATACTTCAGTCACAACAGATAAATTACAAAATAACTATTGACTATTCACAACCGTAGCTGTATATTTTCACATGAATGTCCCCCTCAGATACCTCAAACTTTCTCTTCCGTAGCAACCTTTCCTGGTGAATGATTTTGTCAGCTACTTGATTACCTAGACCAGAGACCTTTGGGTAATTCTTAATTCACTTTCCTCCTTTACACATGCGTATGTGTACCACCATGCTGATTTTGCTACTCCACTAATTCTGCCTTCTGCCCTGCTTTGTGGAAGGTGCATATCATTTCTAAGCTCTTTTAGTGCCATGATTTAACGAGTCCTTTCACTTCCCCTACTCAGTGCTGAGGGCAGACTTGAGGATCTGAGCTTAAAGGTGCTAAACAGGTGATTCTAACCACCTCACAATCTGAGGGCCCTGGGAAAAAAATTTTTTTTTAATGTAAAGGGTGACATAGTCTCTGGATTAGGTCTCTATTGCTGTGCAACAAATTAAATCTAATAGTTTACTACAGCAATGATTTATTACTATGGGTTGGCTCAGGTGGTTAAAATATGGCTGGGCCAGTTGCATAGCCTACGATGTCTCTGTTCTCACATTCATAGTACCATGCCATAGTACCATGCATTTGCTATTAGTTGAATCACTTTTGTTCTCCTCCTTCTAACCCCTCATCTTCTTGTGGACTAGATCCTCTTCCTTAAAACATGACAGCTTCTGGCCAAAGAGATAGTATTGAGTTTAGAATGCTTTTCTTGAACATGACAGACCCTGGTTCTATTCTTGGAACTTCTTACATTCCCCCAAGCATCATTATTAAGCCCTGAGCGCTGTTAGGTGTGACCCAAAACAAAAGTAAAACATGGTAACCACAGAGCTGAATTTCTTTTTCTTTTTTCTTTCTTATGCATCTTATTTTAAGAACTTAGGGAAGAATTTCCAAAGAGCTAGGCTTTGGTTTGGAATTCAGAGTGTTTGTTTCTTTGTTCTGTGTTGGGGGCCATACCCAGCAATGCTCAGGGGTTACTTCTGACTTTGCCCTTGGGAATCACTCCTAGCTAGCTCAGAAGACCACATGGGATGCCAGGGATCAAATCTGGGTTGCTGTGCGCAAGCCAAGTGCCCTAAGCACTGTGCTATCTCTTCAGCCCCAATAATATTTTTTTTACTGAGGTGACATTGATTTACAAATTTGTATATATTTGGGATATAGTTTCTCCCTTCTTCAAAACCATATTCTGATGCCCACCTTTAAATGCCCACTCTGCATTTCCTTCTAGTAAACTCAAATTTATGATCAAAACCAAGGGTTTGTTTTCATTTGAGTTTGTATGTTCCCTTGCTTTGTTTCTTGATACCTCACTGATAAGGTAGATCATCTAGCATTTATCTTTCTCCTTCTGACTTATTTTATTTTGCATTACCCTTTCTGGTTCCATCCATGGTTTTACAAAAGGCAATAGTTCATCTTTCTTCATAGCTCAGTAATAATTTGTATCTATATCGCATCTTTACCTACCCTTCTTTCATTAGCACTTGGATACTTCCTTATCTTAGCTACCATAAATAATGCTCCATGAACATAATTTTGCAAAATTTTTAAGTTAATTTTTTATGTTCTTCTGATAGATACTGGGAGTGAAATCGCAGAAGGAAAAGAAGAAAGAAACCTGTACCTTTCCTGGGATAGATTTCTTGGGATTGGGAAACCTTTTCCAGCTTGTCACAGATATCCTTGGGTAGAGTGAGTTTATTTACATGCATCTAAGTCAGTCACAAGAAAGAGTAGTCACAGTGGACCTCTGTTTCAGGGCCAGGGCAAGAAAGGCTTATACCCAAGTAGATTTGGAAAGGACCAGTAGGATGATTTATTGTAGAACAACCCAAAGTGTCACCTACAAAGTGTGTCTTCCATGTTGTTTGTATAGTATTCCCAAAGTTTGCAACCTTCACTTCACAGGCTGTGCCAGAAAAATATTTTTTAATTTTGTTTTCTTTTGGGACCACATCCAGCTGTGCTCAGGGCTTACTCTTGGTTCTGCACCCAAGGATCACTCCTAGCAGGCCTTGGGAAATCATATGTGGTGCTAGCAATCAAAATCAGATCACACACATATAGGGCAAGTGCTCTACAGGGAGAGAGGGAGAATACACACTCATTAGAACTCAGGAGCCACTCCAATATAGAGCTGGGGGCAGGGGGGAATTCCTGGTGGTTCCCAGTGACCCAGAGATGGAACTTTGACTTCCCACATACAAAGTAGTGCTTCAAGTCCATTGAACTCTTTTCCTGACCCAGAAGTAGAATAAAGAGCCACTGATCTGTCCTCTCCATGTTGCCATCGTTGGCATACTTTTTATGCCCATCTTTTCAATCAGACTCATTCCTGCTCAAGAATATGGCCCATAATTAGGTTTTATGTCTCCAGCACTCAGCACATTGCCTGGTTTTCAGTTAGTCAATGTTTACAGTGAATGAATGAATAAAAAAATGCAATGTGCCAGAATAAGGAAAGTTCTTTCCTTCCAAGGAATTAGAACTTATTGGGGGAAACAGATGCTTACACAGTTATGAATATTATTCCATCAGCTAGAAATGAAAGGAGTGAAGACCTATAAGGTGTTGTTTCTGTGGTAAGTAAATATATTTAAAATATAAATTGGGACCTCGGGAGATAGTATAAGGGTTAAGGCAGTTGCCTTGCATGTCACAGACCCTGGTTCAATCCCTGGCATCGTATATAGTCCTCCAGACACCTCCAGAAGTGATCCCTGACCACAGAGCCACAAAGCCCTGAGCACCACAGGTAGGGCTCAAAAACAATATAAGTAAATAAATATTTTAAAAGGAGACTTGGCAACATGAGTTTTTACAAACATGTTTTGTTTATATAAAAAGGAGTGGTGAGTTTATAAGCTGGAAGGTAGCTCTGGGTTAGATTTCTAAAGGGCTATAAAATTTCTTATTAAGGAGATGGATTTTATCACATGGGCAATGAAGATTCAATAAATGTTCAAAAGAAAAAATTACTATAAATAAAATTTTTGGAAAAGGAGACATGAGCCAATCACTGATTTAGGAAGTCACTGGCATGAGTGTTGAAAGTGTATTGGAGGGCAAAATGGAGCTTAGTGATGAGGAAAAGCTTAGTGGTGGGTAAGTGAGGAGAGTACTGAACAGAAAACAAAGTCCTCCTTGGGTGACTGCCACGTGACAGCCCAGGAGCAAGCCGTTCTGTTTTGCACACTGGATTTCTAGGGCCTAGCTCCAATTAACAGAATAGGGAACTTGGGCTGGAGCAATAGTACAGTGGGGAGGGTGTATGCCTTGCATGTGGCCAACCTGAGTTGGATCCCCGACATCTAATATGGTCCCCTAAGCACCGCCAGGAGTAATTCCTGAGTGCAGCAGAACCAGGAGTAGCCGCTGAGCATTGCCAGGTGAACCCAAAAAGAAAAAAGCAAACAAATAAAAAGAAAGGTGAGGAAACTTAAGTTAAATATTTGCCAAAGGCACTTAGCTATTTGAAAATGAATAAATGGAATCCCATTAGTCTGATTCCCAAAGCTCCTTCTGTGGATTCTCTGCTGATCCTGATCACGCCTTTTCAGATTTCAAACTAAATAAGGAGAGTGAGGAAGTCAAAAGAGGGAGAGATCAGAAAGTCCTTTCAGAAGATAGAATAAGGCCGACTTCAGGACAGTGTCAGAGATGCGGGCAAGGGAAGGTGAGAGTGGAGATAAATAGTCCAGCTCTGATGATATGGAACTCAACGGACTCATGAGAGAGCTGGAAGATGCTTGGAAGGTCTAGAAATACAAGCCTAGTTCAGGAACAAGAGGTCAGAAGATCCGGGTGGGAAGCACTCAGTCATGAGCTGTCATTGAA